TGATTCTATGATTCTGTGATTCTATAAATGTCCTTGAATTTTTAGTTCAGTTGAGATGTAGAAGTGTTATGTTTTCAGCTTTCAACATTTGTCTGGTAATGAATTCTTAAACTTAAGGAATAGGAACATGTGGCTTAAGCTGTCGTCTTACCATAGGTTGCACATCTTGAACTGAATTTTATATAGTATTTTTTGTTATATCTGTATATCTTTATACCTAACCTATGCTGCTAATCTTCAAATTTAGCCACTTGAAAGAGGAAAAAAAATTGTGATATCTGATGTATATTTTGTATGCACAATGATATTTATAATCTTAATTTCCCTACTAGGTTAGCGATGCAACTAAGCTAAGGCCAAAGGCAGAATTCTGTTTTGGTAAGTTCTTGCATGCGGCATGTGCATCAAGTACATTCTTCAGAAATTCAAAACAAAGATTATGTTCTGGAATTCTGTTACTATATACAGCTGGTAGTGTATTTTTTAAAAATAGCTTGTATTTGCTGTTTCTTCTTTAACATGAGCGAAATGTTGGCTTCTTCATAAGGTGTTTTTGTGGCTTTTCATATTGCAGCTTCATGAGCAGTAGATGAGAGCTGTTTTTCAGATGTTTGAAATTTTTGAGGCATTAATAAGCTTATCAAAAATGATGGGTGTTTTCAGAAACATGGCATGCCTGTCAGCTCTGAAGACAAGTAATGTAACTATTTTAATCTGTATTACTGATAAAATAATTGATTTAATTGATCTAAAAATACTGTCAGCCAATGCTCTTACTTAAAATTTCAGCCTCTAGCTGCACCGAAGAAAAAGAATTTGCTTGGGGTACCTTCTAGGTTTATTGATACTTAAACTCGTTTAAACTTGAGTAAGGTTTTAGATAATCATAAAAGCCCCTTACGGTCTTTTTTTAGATATTTCATATAAGTAATTTGTCCAGAATTTACCATAATTCCAGATTTTTCTGACAAGCAATTGGCATTCACAAAAGTATGGGTAGAGACTGGAATCAGCCTCTGCTGTTTGTGGCTGCATTCACAAAAGTTTTAGCTCAGATGAAGGTACTGAAAATGCCTGAAGGTTTTATGACAATTAGTTGAGGTGTCCTTTACATGTGCAGTGTTGTACAGATGCAGAGAAAGCAGTTCCAACGGACTTGTGCAGTCTGTGGTGGAGCTCATCAAACGCTTGGTATATCACCCCTGTGTGTAAGGCTTCAGGCATTCTAGGCTAGTACCTAGTGTGTCAATTCAGTGCCATCTACAGATTCCTCTGCACATGCATGTGTAGAGGTGTTTGTCTTCATCAGTTGTAAAGTTGCTCTTGTCAGCAGGCCAGCTCTAAAAAGCCTTAGTGATCCAAGATGCTGGCTGAAAGCTTTTAATATTTCTCATTTATTAAAGCGTTTTTGATACTTTTTAGAGGAAAAATTTATATTTATTGTCTTTTTATTTAAATACTGGGAATTGTTGTTTCAGTCAACTCATTATACGGTTCTGTATTTTGAATTATATTTGCATCTAATAATGTTTACTTGAAACAGTCCACTTTGGGGAGAAAGAAGAGTGAAAAGTATTTGTTTCTGGCATGTGTTTGCTGTTAGCGATGACCTGAAGAACTGTTATGTTATAGGCAGAGCAACGAAATCTGTTCAGACTTTAGCTGCAATGCTTCAAAGTTCTGGGAAGGTTTTAGTCACTGTTCACCTTAAAACTAATTTCAAGATAAGTTCTTAGAATTTGTGAGAAAACTAGCTGTGATTTTTTTATTGTTACACAGAAATATGTTTGTCCTTTTTGGATAAAGATATGCTAAGTGTTGCTAGGTAGATATATAAACTTACTGAAAATATGCTTTCTCTACCAAGTCACTAAAGTAAAATGAAGTTTTATGTTCTGTCTACTTAAAAGTTGTTTGGTCCTGAGCATCATATACTTAGTAATCAATACTGATTTTTCCACAACTTAAAAAAAAAAAAAAAAAAAAAAAAAAAAAATCAGTAATCATAGTCACGTTAATGAGTTTGTTGCAAAGGATAACAGATACTGGTCAGAGGATTAAAAGGAGAAATTGTAAAAGTCCCCAAGTATAAAACTTTGTTGCTTAGGGAAATTGAGAAAAGGGAAATGGAGCTGTAGAAAATTCTGATAAAATTCAAGGCTTTATTTCTATGTAATAAAAATCACTTAACAAATTCTGTATGATGCTGTTTAAGTGGAGAGCTTAAAAAAAAAGGAAAGAAAAATAGGTTTTTTTTTTTAGAATAAAGCAAGTCTGTCAAGTGGATGTATGTATCTTAAGATGACTTTCTAAAAAGAAATGCAGCAGAGAGCTTAAACACTTCAACTGGATTTTCCATCTGAAATCAAATCTTTTTATGACGGTGTTAAGTTTGCTCTTACATTTCAGTGTTGTTACCTTTTTGTAATGTTTTTTAACAGTTATGAATGCAGGGATGAGAAAATACTTTCTACAAGCCAATGATCAGCAGGACCTAGTTGAATGGGTAAATGTTCTGAACAAAGCTACCAAAATCACAGTAAGTGGTTTAGTTGATATTTAGCAATGCTTTCAAATGGTGACTGTCTCAAGGTGCTTAAATGTAACCTTTGCCTCCAGTTTTTATGCTAGAGTAGTCTTTTTATCTCTACAAACAAGTTTTGGCTTGGCTTTCCAAGAGAAACTGTACAGAACTCCCCCTAAACTTGAGTTTATTTTACTTTTTGCTTTGGAAATTGGACAAAAATGTAATGAAAAAGATAGTTACAGCATATGATGTTTTCTAATAAATTAAAATTAACCGTACACATTTAATACTAATTGAAATATCCAGAAGACACTTGCAAGCATTGAAAAGATATACATACATTTGCCTGGTGTCAAAAGTTTGTATTTCTTAAGGTATCACTAAAATAATGAACAAACATATCATGCCATGTTCCAAAGGCGCTGTCCTGATTTCAAGTAACATCCATTCAAAGAAACATTAATGCATTCTTCTGGTAAGTGTTAAATTACTCCTCTGGTTTGTACCAAGACAGCTTGTTATCACATGTTAAAAAACCCCCACGTATTACCTTAGTCTTTTCAGGAGGCAGAAGTTATGGTTTTGTTTTCTCTCCAGTTTTGGGGAAGTGATGACATGAACTGTTTTGAGAGCATATCCTTACAAAGAAAAATGATTCTGAGCATGGGTGCGCACATTCGTATTTGTTGTCAGTAACTTTCTCGGTTTTAGGTTATCTAAGGATGTTTCCATGAGTTGTTTGCATTGTTTTAATGTAGCTCTTTCTTTGGAGTTATAAAAACATTACTACTAATAATAAATAAAAAAAACAGAAACACAAAGCCTTCTCACTTCAGTTTTTCATAAGGAGGACACACCACAACGAGGCTTGAATTGTTTCCAGTTCAAGAAATAGAGTGAATAAAGAATTAATTGCATGAAATTAGAATTTAGTCTGAAAGCTGTTTATCATATGTTATCATATGCATTCTAGATGGCTGGTGAAATCATTAGTATTTTTTGTCTTTGAAGGAACAAGCCTTTGAACTGCTAATCTGTTCAGAGGTTATTTAGTATGGCCAATTATTTAATCAAACAATTAAGATCATTCAGTTATTAATTTTCATATGAGCATTACTTGCTGTAGATTGTAATCCTCTAAGAGTCATTGCATTTTTTAGTACTCTGAGTACTGATAATTTCAAAATAACTATGAACCTTTGCAGTCTAGCACATTGTGTACCTATTTATGAGTACTGTTTGAAAATGCATTGATATGAGAAGGTGTTTGTGGGTTTGGTCTGTAGCGTTTTAAGTAGGAGTTTGTGACGGCTGAAGCACTTAACCCATAAAGCTGTACCTACAAGCCCCTTCTCTTAACGGCTGAGGGCCATGATCTATGTGCGCTAGGAGAATGTCTTACCCTTCAGCGCCAGACTTGGCTGTGAATGGAGTCACCTGCTACCTGTGCTAGCCAAGCTGGGCGTTGTGCAAGACTAAGGGGATGGTGGAAGTGAGAGAATGAGCCTGACGCCACAGCTGAGCAAGCTGCTGAGTGCCGCCTTCACTTGGCCGGGAGGAAGCTGTCCTAGGCTGACATTTGTGCTCTCGGGACTGTTTGTACTTCTTTGCAGGCTGTTTTTTTGTAAAATAGGCAGTCCTGGGCATAGGAACTAGAACACAGCAGACTATAAAGTAGCTTTGTTTTTGTCTAGATCAGTTCAATTTCAAGTTTTGAATGTGCCACAGTCTTGCATGGTAATTCACTGTGTAAAGACAGTTTGCATGTCCCTTCTTTGTGAAGGAATTTAGATATCCTATGTAAATATCCAGTAGGTTGCTGGCTAAGATATTTTGGTGTGAGACTCTTGATCTCTTCTTGTTGAAGTCACTTCAAATTTACTATATTAATATTAGGGGTGAAAGGAGATGATAAATGAAAATATCTTGGGTAGCCAGTTAGTGCATTTCTTAGGTTACAGATGTTTACTTTTTGCACAAACTCAGGAATTTGAGTAAACATTTCAGATCAAAACACTTATTGGGAAATTGAATTCCTGTGGTGTTTTGGTTGCTATAGTTCCACATTTGAGAGAATTATCTAATAGTCAGTTATAGTTAGAAATAGGTAGGTGGGGTCATTTTGGACAGAATTTAGCAATAAATGTAGGATTAATGGAGGCAGTACATACAGTCTTTATGCCAAGTGTTGGAATGTGAGTGCAAGTGTCATACTGGTCAGGCATGCTATTTGACAAAAGTCTCAGTACTGTAGCCCTGTGTTTATGGTCTTACTGTGCTAGCTCTACAGGCACTGGGGCATCTCCAGTCTGAAGCACTTATTACTAAAACTGAAAGCAAGTGAAAAATAAAGAACCAGTTCTTGTACAAATTAGCAGTGCTTCTTGAAGACCAAGTATAGGACTTATGGCAAAGCTGGGAATTGATTTTTAGATTGCAAGACACCTGGTGAAATGTCTTTATTGACACTAGTTCTTCTGAGAACTAAAGCATAGCCATTGCAACAAATTTTTATGTAAGCTATTTCTAGCCTTTTACAATTAGAGAACATTTGTTAAATGTTGAATTTATGAATGTCAAATTAAAGATTCTTGAGTAATGATTGGGGCTTTTTTAGGTCTTCATAAAACTTATGTTAATTATCATATTCCGCTTTCAGGTACCAAAGCAGTCTGATCCTCTCTGTCAAATGGATAATGCAAATCGTCAAGCTGAAAGCCCAGGTGGAAAGAAGCAAGTCTCTTACAGGACAGAAATTGTTGGCGGTGTTCCTATCATTACACCTACTCAGGTAATACTCATAAAAAGAAGTGGGCCATTATTTGATAGAGGAAGCTTTGTTGTTTGACAGGTGAGAATAGGTTATGTATCACAATGTAGCTGCCAACTTCTCACCTTGCTCAGAGGACTTATACTTTGATGTGCACCTTTTATTGATAGCGACTGGGTTTTTTTGAGGATTTTATTCCCTTTATACAACATTATAGAGAATTATACAAGACTATAAAGAATTACTTGAGTATTGATTTTTGCTCACAGATGTTGGTTAGTATGCTGAAAATGTCTTTTTGTGTGTGCGAAATGAATTGTTGGTGTTAACAATGCCAAAGTTCTCTTTTTAACTGCCAGGAAAAGTGGGCAAAATAGGAGGTGATTAAGTCAGCTGATTACATATACACTATGTTATTAGAGGTAGTAAGGATGACAGCAGATTAAACTATTGCAGAAGGGCCTTATGAAATAGCATGTGTGGACAAAAAAGACAGCAAGTGAAATTCAGTGAAAATAAATATGATGTAAGGGATTCTGGGAGAAACAATCCTAGTTTTTAATAGAAAATACTAGATTGTGAAATAACCATTTCCGCTTGAGTGAGAGGTAAGAGTTAGTCACACGATGAAAGTATCATCTTAGTGTTCAGTAACAGTGGAGGAAAAACCCTACAAATATTAGGAGTTACTAGAAAAAGAATAAGGAGCAAAACAGAAAACGTCCTTGTTGCTCTATAAATCCTGTCTTTGACCAGACCTTGATTACTGTGTTCAGTTTTGTTCTTATCTTAGAAACTAAAACTGGAAAGGTTCAGAGAAAGATTTCAAGGATGATTGGTCCATGTGGAATGATCTCCACATGAGGAACAATTGAGTAGGCTAGTACTCTTCCGTGTGCAAAAGAAATAACTAAAGGAGATTGTAAGAGCTCTACAAAATCACGATTGGCAGGAGTGGATGGTGTAAACTGTCTTTTCCAGTACGAGAGCTATGGGCTTTTAAACAAAGCTAGTGGTGTAACCAGGTGAAACAAAGGGAAGGAGTTCTTTTTTCGGTGAGTAGTAAAACATAAGGTACTCCTTGCCAAAAGATGGCATGGATGCAAGAAACTTTCCTGAGTTTGAGAGATTGGACAAGCTCATGGAAGAACAATCTATACAGTGTTAAAGATATAGACCTGTATCTGTTTCTGCAAGTTCCCTGAGCTGCAAATAGTTACAGTTTGGATTAATATCATATAAATGGCATGCATACACCTGAATTGCATTTAAAAAGTTGGTGAATTCTGATGTGTCTTATGGTCCTAGAAATAGCTTTTTCTTTGCTGTAGCCACCTCTAGTGTTTTGGCCTTAAAGTGAGGTTATGAGTTTGCACTAAATACATGCATATATCTTGTTTTTAGATCTGTAACATTCTTCATTGAGTGTCTGTCAATATTGTTTGAGAATACTTAGCACTTTCTTAGTTTAGTTTCTAAATGGAGCTTGCAAGTACTCAACCAGAGCCCTTGGAGAGTCTCATTAGTTGTCTCTAGAAATCAGTTGAAATATTTTACCCTTTCAAACAAATTGGAAATGAGATTTGTGAGCATGGGATGATACAATTATTTCCTATTGCAACTAGTATAGTTATTCTTTGACCTTTAGAAAAAAATGAGAGTATTCTGAACTTTCCTGCTTTTCTCTAGAAAGAAGAAATCAGTGAGTGCAGTGAAGGGGGTGATAGGAATTATTTGAAACGGTCACAAAGTCACCTTCCTTATTTTACTGCTAAGCATCCCCCAGATAATGCTATTATCAAAGCTGGCTACTGTGTAAAACAAGGAGCAGTGGTAAGTATTTGAGATCAGTGTGTTTCATTAATCAAGAACAAAGGTCCTTAGGTGGTAGTTGTACTTACAAGTAGATGATTTAAAAAAAAAAAAGAGACATTTTGTAACATTCCTTTTTTTAGTTAAAAATAAACTAGAAACCTTTAATGTACTGTCTTTTAACATTTCTTTCGGCGTATTTGTGCTGCTAAGTTGCTACAGTTTCAGTGGAGATTGTTGAAAATGTCTTATAATAGAAAATAGTAGCTTCCAGAATTTCTGATTTTTGCAGTTTTCAAAAAAAAGCAAATTTAATTGGGCAGAGTTTTGCAGAATTATTTTGGGGGCACTATATATGTATACAATAGATATATG